CAGCTGGCCCTGGTAGTAGTTCTTTGCTGGAAGTCGTCTTCAGCCAGAGTTCCAGGGGATGCTGCGTAGACTTCTGGAAGGAGCTCCGTCTCTCTAGCTCCCTCCTCTTGTGTCCTCACTCCTGAAATTCCAGCTGCTCGGGCCTCCCCGAGCTCCAGCCTGTGTCTCCTTAACTCAGTGACGTCGCCGAACTCCGCTGTGGGGCCCCTGTCTGAGTCGCGGTTCAGGCGTTACCTCTGGGCGGGAAGCCTAGGTTATGGCAGGGCTCGTGTTTGTTTCCCGTCTCTCAGGGATCACAGCTCTTAGCTGCCTGTTGTCCAGTGTCTGAGAATAGTTGCTTCCTATATTGTTCCAGTTTTCTAGTTGTTTAGAGTGGGAGGTTAATTATAGACCACCCAGAAGTTCCCAGATTGTCCTGTCAAAGAATATTGTTACTTGCGGGCAATCAGTTAAAACTTGATTTTAAATATTCTTGGCTTTACAAGAAATACCAGTGAACTCTATTTCATACTATATAGAAAAACCAATTTCAGGTGGATTAAGGACTTAAATGACAAAAAATTCAAAGCTCTTAGTAGAAAGTTTAGGTGAATAGCTTTTAGAATCTGGGGATAGCAAAAGTTTCTTCAGACACAGAAAGCATTGGCCCTAAAAATATTGATAAATTGGACTTTATCAATTTTAAGCTTCAAAAATATTAAGATACTTTAAATAAAGTGAGAAAAATTACATCCTTGGAAGAGGTATTCACAATCCACACAAATGAAACGATTATGTCAAGAACATATAACAAACTCTACAAATCAATGAGAAAAGCACAAAAACTTGATGTAACAGTGGGCAAAACATGAATAGGTATTTTACAGAAGACGACACTCATGGCCAATAAATATATGAAAAGATGATCAACATCATTAGTCATTAGGGAAATATAAATCAGGACCACAGTGAGAAATCTTTTCACACTCATTTTATTGGCAAAAATTAAGAGGATCTTTTTAATATTACCGAAAGGAGTGTACATTAATGCAACCACTTCAGCTTATGGTTTGGCATTATCTCCTTAAATTGACTCTTCACATTCTTGATAACCCACTCATAGGTACACAGCAAGGAGAATCTCTTACACATGTGCAACGGGGACCTTGTGTACAGATGTTCACAGCTGTATCGTTCACAATAGCAAAACCCAGAAAGAGCTGAAACCCAGAAGCAACCCAAATCCCATCGATGGGAAAACAGATTTTTAGAAAGCAAAATGAAGTGTTATATGCAGCAGAATAAATCACAGAGTTATGTAATGTTGTGGATGAGACGCAGCGAAGAAGTCCCAAAAGGTCTCAGTCTACGTGATAACCTTTTTGTAAAACTAAAATACCCATTAAAAATTTAAAAATCAAGGATTGCATATAAAAACTATTAAAAAAAAGCAAGGGAGTGATGAACATGCTTGAGTGTGATAATTTTGGGGGATCAGGGAAGCAGGGAGATGGGATGAAGGAGGCAGAGACCACATGGTTATCATCAAGGTCTTCGCTTTTAGTTTACTTTTTACAAGATTAAAAATAAGTTTTCAAATAGCTCATCGGAATGAAACTGTATTACAAACCAGGGATTATGATGAATCCAGTTCTGTCCACCTGAGGTCCAAATAAACAAAGAAAAGTAATAGAGACCATTTATGAATCACATTAGGGAAAACACGCATGATAAACCTAAGTTATTTAAGAGCATGTTGTTGCCTTTAATGCTTTTTTTTCTTTCCAAGGAGGAGCCTAAATACTTAAGCATTTAGGAAGACGTCCTTAGTTAAGGATCTCATGGCTTTCCCCCAGAATCAGCTGAGTGCTGTATCTCCTTTTGCTATTACAAGCAGTTTGTGAATAGAAATAACATATCCTTTTAAAGATAAATTTCCAGCTAAAAACAAGATGAAATAGGGTGGCATTTGAAACAATTCGTTGGTCATAGTGTACAGTGAAGATTCATCCAGATCAATAACGTGGACCAGTTCGGTGTCTGTCTGACATTTGGAGGACAAACTTGGGTGATATTGCCATAGTCAAATGTCATCATTCTACTTTTTTTCTAATCACTTTGTTATAAGGAGATTCTCTTCTGTGTGTTCAGTAGCACAATTTCTGCCCATTACTTGAGATTTGAGAAAATGAGAACATTTTATTATTCAGCTCCTACATAGAATGATACATTACCATTTGAAAGCCTTAAGCAATCTCTAGGTCGGAGTTAAGGAATCAACAAAACAAAGATCTCTGAAAATCTCAGATTTGAGTTTCTGCTATTAAGTACAGCCCAGATGTTACTGGATTTGCTTTCCCCACAGTGGTTTGTGCTCATTGTTAAGACTAGATCAGTTACCATCTTCAGCATTCTCTAGAACTGAGTCACGAGGATGGAGAGGTGGCATGGTGTGGGTTTTCAAATACTTACATACGGGGAAATTTAGAAATTATTTCAAAGCTTAATTTTGAAACTTGTAGACTACAGAGGGACAAAATTAGTTTACTGATTAGACAAGTTTTACACTTTCCCTATCCGTAATTAATCCCACTTCTCTTTTTGAGGTCTAACTCAGCAGAGTACGTCAAGATGGCTGCATCTTGTTACCTCGGGCAGCTGGCCTTGAAGTCTGAACATTCCAACTTGAAGTCTTGTAGGATATGGTCAGTTGGAGAAGAGAACAACCAGTGATAGTAAATGCGGTGTACTTTTGCAAGCTAGGCTGACTTCATCTCATTCTGTGTATGAGCCAACCCGTCTGAGGGTTTAAATTAGAATGGAAAAATCCCAGAAGTACTGCCTGCCTGGGTATATCTTTAGTTCCTATCTGATTATGTTCCCCTTCAGGTCCAAAGAATATATTTTTGATGCACATTTTCATCTGTAATGAGACTGTCCTTTCTCATGGACCATGTATATTCATTGCTTTTAGGCAGAGGACCTCAGCAGGGACTAAGTGAATCAGTCCTTTTTTTTTTTTTTTTTTTTTGCAAATGAGTGTGTCAAGGAAATGAATATTAATGGGTTTTTGTTAATTTTAAGGACAGGTGAACAAAGCAGTCTCTGTTGTGATTTCTTTTTGTATGTTTTCTCATTTGTTAAGTACAGTTAATTTTAAAATGGTGTGGGTCTTGTGGCAGCCATTCCTACCTGCATTAAGGTATTACTGAACTGTCACCATCCCGTTTGTATTTCTCTTCCCTTTGACTTCACATTTAAATGGGGGTGGGGGCGGAGTGAGAGGCTGTTCGATGGTACTCTTCTCAACTTAGGAAGAAACTGAAAATCGAATCAATTTTTAGGGTTTCTTGTTGGAATTGTCCCAAAGGCCTCTCAAGTTGTAAGGTTCTTTCTGCTCTAGGAAATATTTTGTTGGACTTAAGATTGGTCACCATTGGGGAGATGCAGCCGTCGTCCTCAGGTGCATTGGCAAAGACCTGGTGTCTGTGCTCTGCCTAGAAAAAGCCCCTGGGGAATGTGTGAACCAGCGGGGCCACTCTTCCCTGCCCGCCCGCCTTGCGTGAGGGACTCAGGCAGACTTATGACCTTAGGACTGTGAACTTGCTTTTTAAGCAAAAGAATGGTGATGGTATTGAGAAGTTTGCAAAGGTTAGTTTGAGAAGTAAGCATACAAGACCAAATTGACTGAGTAAGACTTCTTAAGACTGCTTACCCTGGAGAGAGCGTGTGGTCTCGTCTGAGGGGAAGACTGTTTTTCTTTTTATGCTTTTGAACTTCAGAAAACAGTGATGGGAATAAGTGGTAATCTGTATGGTTCATTACAATCAGTTACAAATTTGAGTGGTAATCACAGGAAGAAAACTCATTGATCAGGATCATACGCGTGCGTCCCTGGAGGCTGCCTGACAGTGATGAGAGGCTTTGCTTTTAATTGGGGAAAGATCGTAGGAGAGTTGTGGGAGAGGAGTTTTGAATGAATAAATTATTTTATTTTTTGCATTTAATTTGTACTTCCTAAGTCACAGAAGCATGGGAAAGGTTCTTGAGCTTGAAGGAAAGGCTTTGCCCAGAGATAACTCTCGGTTACGTGAGTTAGGTGGCCTGTTTTGTGCACATTTAAAATTCCGAATGATTTTTGCTAAGCTAGTAAATGTGATTTGGGGCCACATTCCCATCTCCGCATTATTCAATATGTTCTGAGAAGACAAAGTGACCTGGATTATTTCATGTTTTTCGATTATGCATTCTACCATTTTCCTTTATAAAGACACATGTTCGGGAATCACACACACGTGCGTTCTTTTTTTCATCAGATATTTGCTGAGTCCCTACTGTATGCCAGGTCCTGTTCTAGAAGCTTGGTATGCCTCTGTGAACAATAGACAAAAATTTCCACTCGTTTCTTCATGAGGATTATTACTTTTTATCATTATGAGGAGGTCCTTAGAGTATGTTTATTCTTCAACTTTATGTTAACCCTGTTTTAATGACGGAAGGGAAAGGAACAAAACAAGATGTCTGACTTCGAGAAAGGAGTTTTTGATAACAAAAAATGCCACTATTGCTTATGTTATTTTTCGACCTTTTCTTTGGAAGTTTGGGCCACATACAAATATCAGTCACATTGCTTCATAATCAACCCTAGCTTTTTACATCTCTCTCTGAATTTACGTGCTTGTTCATTCACTGTATGTACCACATTGGCTTCGAATGACTTCTAACTTTCTGAAAATAAAATCCACTCTTAAAAGCTGATAATTGCCATTGAAGATGTTTAAAACAGTGTGTTGGAGGTCATTTCAATAGCAGATGTCAGATCATGGCCCCCTTGAAAGGAGTACCCCTCTTTTGTACGTATCATTTCTGGTGTGTTTATTATTAAGTCTTATTTCACAGTGATGGACATATTCTCTTAGGTGTGTAGCAGAGTATACCTAACCAGCACCCACCCGAGCCTGGCTTTAGTGATCCCGTGATTCCATCTGTAGCGAACGGGCTTTCTTTGTCCCCCTCACCAGGTATACAACGTTTACATGGCCGGGAGGCAGCTGTGCTCCAAGCGGTACCGGGAGTTTGCCATCCTGCACCAGAACCTGAAGAGAGAGTTCGCCAACTTCACGTTTCCCCGACTTCCAGGGAAGTGGCCTTTCTCCTTATCAGAACAGCAGTTAGATGCGCGACGCCGCGGGCTGGAAGAATACCTGGAAAAGGGTGAGCTGGCCCGCTAGCCCCCTGTGCAGGCGCACTGCATGCCGCAGCTCCTAACTGTGCGCCTAAGTTTCCTGAGACTCAGCAGCGGACTGAGTCAGGTTCCCGACTACAGGTGTTGACTGAGCAAAGCTAAGAAGCCAGGACTGCCTGGTCCGGTACAGTGATGATTAGCCTATTTCGGTGACTCACCGAGCACATAACAGCAGAAAAAGGGATCGTTCTTGATGCGTTAAGGACCTTTTTTTATAGGGTTATATTATTTGCCAGCAAACACATACAGATGGACTCATCCACGTGCTGAACTGATTTGGGAACTAAGTGGCAGTATTTAAGACATTTTTGTTAAAATGATTTTCGGTTCATTGGCCAATCCTACCCGAAAACTCCTCATTCCTCTTAGAAGTGTCCATGAGTTGGTTTGCTGAGTGGCAGGTAATCTGAAGTCCCCTTATTCTAAACAGGTTGTAGGTAGAAGTATTAAAACTTGTGCTCTCAGGACTTCCATACGGTACACTAGGAATCCGTGGACGTGGAACCCGAAGCAAGCATTTGTTTATTTAGAAAGTTGGAGGAATTGACACACATCTCCTGAATAATGTGCTAGCTGTGCAATAGGCTTTTCTTTAAAATACTAACTTAGTAGAATAATGGTCTTACATGGTATTTAGTAATTCTGTATCCTTATGTCTTTATATAAGAACTAATTGATCCAGTTGAATTTTTTTAAAGCTTTGGTAAAGAGCCTTATCCCTGAAAAAAAATCATTTCCATCCACGGCCATGCCCGATCCCGTCTGATCTTGGAAGCTAAGCAGGGTCGGGCCTGATTCGTACTTGGATGGGAGACCACCTAGGAAGACCAGGTGCTATAGACATAGACACACACACACACATCATTTCTCTTGTAGAAAGAGTGAAACTTCCTCATCTGTTTTTCGCTTTCTTCTAATATAGAACGGCCTCCAAACACAGCCCTTGGGAAATGAGAAAGGGTATAATTTTTTTAATAAAATGGAGTAGAATCGTCTGTGTAATGTACCATCTTCATGAGAGTGTCAGGAAATTAACTTTCCTTAGGTTTAGACGATTAGCTGCCTACCTGTCTGCTTTCCTTCTTCCTTCTTCCTTTCTCCTTTGCTAAAATTAGTGAGGTGAGGAGATGTGCTCACCTCAATACTGAGTTACCTACCCATTTTCCATGTTTATGGTTCTCTGACTGGCCTGTTGCTAGGCCAAGTGAATATTTTTCCTTTTGTATTTCAATTTTGTGTTTGGTTTATTTCTAGTTGACCTTACCACTGGTCTGTCATCTAACTTGTTAATAGTTCACACAAGACTACAAAGTTAGATTTACTGAACTTTTATCTCTTTTTTGGGGTGACTTCCTTTGACTATGTTTAATATTTTTAGCGAGCTACGTACATCTTTGTACATCCTGTTATTCCTCTGATCTAGTTCATATTTATATGAGTGTTTGTTGTGTCTTAAAATAGCATATGTCAGGGATGGCATGCCACCTCAGCATTGCCCGGTACTGATGATTTACATTTAAATCTTCGTATGCTCTTAACTTCCCATTCTTGATTTTGGGACCGCATGCCAGATTCTGTCTTTGTTTTCTACAGTGTGCTCAATACGAGTCATTGGTGAGAGCGACATCATGCAGGAATTCCTGTCGGAATCGGACGAGGTAAGTGAATACCCCGCAGTGACTGTTTACCTCTTGGCTCCTTATGGGGGAAAAGAAAGATATCGGTTATGGATTGAATTTCCATAAATTCTCCAAATGACTGTTTTTCAGCTTCTTTTTTTGTGTGCGTGCTACTTATCCTTCAAAACCTAGGGCCGGGTCCACCTTCTCTTTGAAGTCTTCCCCGTTCTCAAGTCTTCGGTTTTTCATTCCACCTAGAGCTTTTGCAGTCAGTACCACTTAATTATCACCTTCTTGCTTTCTCATACTCTTAATTTTTATACATATAGATTATCACTTTATATTTTTAGTTTACTAGACTGTGAGCTACCTGTAGGTAAGAGCCAAACCTTTTTTTTTTCAGCTTTGTTGAGGTATAATTGACAAAAAGGAATTGTGTATCTCTGAGATGTAGAACTTGATATTTCGATGTATATATACATAGTGAAGTGATCACCACATTCAAGCTAATTAATATCTTCATCACTTGGTTACCCCTTCCTTCCTTCCGTCCTTCCTTCCATCCTTCCTTCCGTCCATCTTTCCATCCATCTATCCATCTATCCATTCATCCATCCTCCCTTCCTTCCATCCATGGTGAGAAGGCTTAAGATCTACCCTCTTAGCAAATTGCCCGGTCACCATTCTGTATGTGAGATCTCCAGAACAGTAGCTAAATCTTGATCATCTTTATATTCCCAGTGCTTTATCACAATATCAGGCATATTATAGGTGTTTAATAAATATTAATTGAATAGAAGAATGAATATGTAGTGATACTGTATTAAATAGTGTATTATCTATTGATTATTTTATATGTCTGTGTCTTATTTTCCCAACTAGATTATAAATTTCTCTCAGACAAGGACTTATAACAAAGTAATGCTTAAGATAGTTTTAGGCAGTGAATAGTACTTTTTTTTTTTAAAGTAGTAAATGAAGATGGACTTATTCCTAAATAGTCGTTTATCTCTACAACGTCAAAAATCTGTTAGAGGAATATTGTAATCATCAAAAGCAATATGAGAGAAGGATTTCTTGGATTAAGGAGGATTAAAATTGTTTACTCTTAGCTAGAATAAAATTGGGCATCAGGCTAACTCAGATTTCTGAGTTTCATCTATTTTTCCTTTCAAAGGTGTCATGATTATTTCAGATTCAGAAAGGAGCTTAGAATACTAATTGAGCTAATCCAGCATGGCCTGACCATAAAAAACCAGACAATATTTGTTGAAACTACTGCTTTCACTTGTCTTCTCATTTGTGAGTTCTGAATATTTGAAAGTAAGCCAAAACTCATCTGTGCTTGACCCAGACTGTTTCACATAAATTTTCTGTTTTAAAATGTGAACATGTTGGCTTCAACATATTTCCTTCTGTATTCATCTTAAAGGCTAACGTCTGCCTTACCTAAAGTCAGCTTTATGACTTGTAAACTTACAAGATCTCTCACGTTTCTCTATCACATATTGAGGCTGTTGTTTAGCCAGCATGTTACAGGGACAGCAGGGACACGCTGGGTCCTAAACTCTCTCTGTGTCTCTTCTCCAGAACTACAACGGCGTGTCGGACGTAGAGCTGAGAGTCGCGCTGCCAGACGGGACGGCAGTTACGGTCAGGGTTAAAAAGAACAGCACTACAGACCAGGTGTACCAGGTAAAGTAAACACGACCACGTAGACTTGCACTGTGTGCTTTAAAGCTGAGGAAGATAGGTTAGACGAGTTACTGTATGTACAGGGCTTGGAGTATCTATCTGGCACATACAGGTTCATTAAATGTTAGCTACTATTGTTGATGCTATTATTAAAGTAAATATCGCGGATTGTCGTGGTTCTGATTAGTCCCCCCCTTTAATTGTAAAAAAACTTTGTAATGTGCCTCAAAACAAAATAGTACAATGAACCTCTGTCTATTCATCACTCATATTTAATAGTCATCAAGGTTTTGTCACATTCACGTTATATATCCTTTTCTTCTTTGTTTAAATATTTTTAAAGCAAATTTCATGTTATTGGACCGTATGTATTTCAGTATACATTTCTAAAAAATACGGACATTCTTCTTACAGAACCACAAAGCCATTATCAAACCTAAAAAATTAACAGTACTTCCTTGTTATTAATTAGTGACAAACTGATAGCTGTATTTTCCCATTTATCTAAAAAGGATTTTTCGTGGTTGGTCAGAGTCTGGGTCTGCATAAGGCCCTGTGCCGCGCTTGGTTTCCGTGTCTCCTTCAGAACAGCGCGGTCTTTGCTCCCTCTCCAGCGTTCCCCACGCCGGCGTTTATCGCAGAAATCGGGTCTGTGTCCTGAGGAATGTCCCGCATTTTGAATTTATCTATTTGTTTCTTTTTATCCGTTCGCGTCATTTAATATGGCTTTCCGTTTCCTTATATTTTCCGTAAATGGAGGCTTGATTAGATTCAGGTTCAGCTTTTTTGATAAGAATACTTCATAATTGGTATTATATGCTTCATATTGCTTATCAGTAAGAGATATACGATATCTGGTTATTCACTTTTAATGATTGATCGGTAGGTTTAGGTGGTGATAACCTGATCTCTTCAGTGTGAAGTTCTTCACTGATCTTTTGTCAGATCAGTGTATCACCAATGATTGCCGCCTTAACCTATAACTTCTTTAAGAGTTGCAAAATGCTGATTTTCTAATTCTCTCATTTCTTCATATTTATTAACTAGAATTCTGTAAAGAACGTTTTCTTATCAACTAAAGCTGTTTAGTTATTCTGAAATACAGTTTGTAGTTAAAGGAGGGGTAAATATTTAATTTTTTCCTTTTGCTGTCAGTTTTCAGAGTAAAGAATTGATACCCTAGTTGATTCCAATGAGGTAATTACTCTTTTAGTATCACGTGGGTTTTTAGGAATTCAGGATGATTTAATCAATAGCAAATGTTATCTTTTTGATTGTCAGGTTGTTTTATCTTGGCCAGTGGATGCTCCTTCATGTCTGCACCTGTGCTCTTGGTGCAGCCCATTTCTTTGTGATATTAATTGTACTTTGTTTCAGTACAGCAGGGTGTTCTGGGCTCATCCTTGTGTGTTTCCTATGCTAGATCAAGAAGCAGCCACTTCCCAAGGAGTCCTGTTTCCTTTCAGGGAGAAATGGTGTTTAAAGATCATGGTCTAGGTACTGGGAATAGTTGTTGCTTTTAGGCCTTTTCATTGGTTCTTTAATCCAGATTTGATCAAGATTTTGAGGGAGACTACAGGTTTCTGGATATTAATGTTTATTTCTCTTTGTAGCAAACAAACAAATCTGCTCCCCATACATTTACATATGTGCTGTATACCATGGTGAAGGATATGGGCAGGATCTCAGGTGTTTCTATAAAATGGCGTGGTTGTAAGGAAAATGTTAATTTTATAGTTTGCTGATGTTTGTTTCCTTTGGTTTTTATTCCCCCAATATTTCTCTAGCAAGGCCTAATGTATTTTTTACTTTTCCCCCTCACCTTGTAATTGAGACTTCCAGCCATAAGCCATTTTCCAAACCTTGAGAGCATTTCAGTTTCTATCCAGTGCAGTATAGAAGTAACTTGGAACACTTAGAATCTCCAGCTCCTGCCTCATATCAGGGGTGGACCTAGGTCTGTATGTGAGCAGATACGGGAAGAAAGATATAACCGTGTGTGTTTTACTAAGACATTAATATTCAACAATTTTATCTTGTTCAATTAACACCTTATTACCTTATTTATAAGGGGACTGGTCTTGAATAGGAATTTCGATACTGCTAGTTTGTATTTTTTGCTTTGCATTTTGTTCTTATTTGTATGTAATTTCAATTTTCATTTACTTTCACGAGGAGCCTTTCAATTTCTTTTTATTTGTTGTATTAAGGACCTTAGTTCCTAGAGAGAAGGACCAATACTCGTTTAAAATGTCTCTTTTTTCCCAAAATTTTGGTCTTTTTTTGTGGATATTGATGAGGGTAGGAAATGGAGATCCCCAGCCTGAGACGTGGATCATCTGAAAACCAAACCAGAAAAACATGGGAAGCACGAACAAAACTGATATACAGTATTTTAATCTCAAGAACCAGTGATGTAGATTTTGTATGTTAGCAGCCTATGTTAAATGTAGGCCAAATGTATAAGATCGGGTATTTAAGAATTTGCTTTCCTCTTAAGATCTGACCTTATCGAGCACATTTCTTGTAAGTGCTATTAAAAAAAACCCTTGTGGAATGAAGTCACACTTCAGAGAGGAAAGCTGATATTTAATGAGAGATTATTATCAGCTTGAATTGGAGGGGAGATACTCATATTTAGAGATCATATGGTTTGGATCCAATACGGGGGGGTATTTTTTTCTCTTTAATTTCGTATGTGCGTATGTGTGCATGTACCCACACATACAAAGAAAAAACAGCAATGACCATGAATTTAGTGTCCGTGAAACCGACGTGGCAGGAGCCGTGCCCTCCCCCCGCACCGCGTGCCTGCGTCCGTGTCTTCCCACGGCACTGCCCGTCATAGCGTCCCTGAATCCAGCTAATCTCTCCCGTTTCCTCTTTAGGCGATTGCAGCAAAGGTCGGCATGGACAGCATGACGGTGAATTACTTTGCCTTATTCGAAGTGATCAACCATTCCTTCGGTAAGTGCCAGTGGCCAATACTAAGTTTTGTGCGGAGGTATTTTATTCTAATGCTGTCGGACTGAAGCCCCCAGAAGCTGTCAGACTGACACTGTTTGCCCGGAGAAGAGCTGCAGAGCAGGGGGATCCCACGCCAGTACGAGACCGGGCAAGTCCCGTTAAGCCCAGGTCACAGCACGTCTGGTCACTGGTGTCACTGGTGATCCTTTCTTCACTTTTGTGAGTATAAGTTACTTGCACCCAGCGCTGAGGCAGATAGGTCCGTGAGGTTCTTTTAAATCAGAGGTTCAAAATTAATATGTTTCAATAAAACAGCCTTAACAAAGGAGATATTCTATTTAGCCACAACTTGTTTTAGCATACTTTATGGTTTTTGTAGATTAAGAATTGCTTTTTTTAAAATAATTTTTTATTTTTCAATTACAATGGACATACAATAGTATATTAGTTTCAGGAGTACGGCATAGTTATTAGACGTTTGTATAACTTATGGAGTGTTCGCCCCAGTAAATCTCCTACCCATCTGACACCAGAGACATAGTCATTATAGTCCCTGTGCTGTGCTTTACATCCCCGTGACTATTTTGTAACTACCAATTTGTGCTTCTTAGTCCCTTCCCCCGTTTCACCCAATCCCCCAACCCCCTGCCATCTGGCAACCATCAGGTTGTTCTCTGTATCCGTGAGTTTGTTTCTATTTTATTTGTTCAATTATTTTGTTTTTTAATTCTATATATAAATGAAATAATATGGTATTTGTCTTTCTCTGTCACACTTATTTCACTTAGTATAATACCTTCTAGGTCCATCCATGTTGTTGCAAATGGAAAGATTTTATTCTTTTTTTTTTTTTTGTGGCCAAGTAATATTCCATTGTATATATGTACCACATTTTTATCCAATTGTCTGTGGATAGACACTTGGGTCTTATCCGTTCAGCCACCCTATGTCTTTGGATTGGAGCATTTAGTTCATTTACATTTAAAGAAATTGATGATAGGTATGTAGTTACTGCCATTTTATTATTAATATTTTTTATCTCTCCCCGCCCCGCCTCTTGTTTTTAAAGAAGTTCCTTTAACATTTCTTGTAATACTGGTTTCGTGGTAATGAACTCTAGCTTTTTCTTGTCTGGGAAGCTCTTAATCTGTCCTTTGATTCTAAATGATAGCTTTGCTGGGTAGAATCATCTTGGTTTAGGTCCTTGCTTTTCATCACTTTGAATATTTTGTGCCAGTCCCTTCTGGCCTGCATAGTCTCTGCTGAGAACTCAGCCGACAGTCTTATGGGAGCTCCCAGCCTCTTTGGGTTCATCTTTTTTGGGACTCTCTGTATTTCCCGGGCTTGTATGTTTATTTACTTTGCCAGGTTAGGGAAGTTTTTCATCATTAATGCTTCAAATAGGTTTTCAGTTCCTTGCTCTCTCTCCTCTGGTACCCCCATGATGTGAATGTTGGTATACTTGATGTCCCAGAGGCCCCTTAAACTAGTCTCGTTTTATTGGATTCTTTTTTTGGCTGTTCCAGTTGGGCGTTTTCTGTTACCTTGTTTTCCAAATCACTGGTTCAGTCCTCCGCTTCATCTCATCTGCTGTCGATTCCTTTTAATGTGTCTTCATTCCAGTCATTGTGTTCTTTGTTTCTGACTGGTTCTTTTTCATGTTTTCTACCTCCATTTTTATGTTCCCTATCTCTTCGTCGAAGTTCTCACTTAGATCATTGAGCATCCTTATAACCAGTGTTTGAACTTCTCATCTGGTAGATTGCTTGTCTCCATCTCATTTAGTTCTTTTTCTGGAACTTTGTTCCCTTTTAATTTGGAAAATGTTTCTTTGTCTTCTTACCTTGGCTGCCTCCCTGTGTTTGTTTCTGTGTATTGGGTAGAGCTGCTATATCTCCCGGTCTTGGTAGCGTGGCCTTAAGTAGTGAGTGGGGCCCAGTGGCACAGTCTGCCTGGTCACCTGAGGCGGGTGCTCTGGGTATGTCTCTTTTGTGGGTCGTGTATGCCTTCCCATTGTGGTTGAGCCTTGATTGCTGTTGGCACCTCAGTGGGAGGGACTGACCCTCAGGCTGGTTGGCCGTGAGGACTGGCTGTGACTACAGTGGAGGGGCTGTCATGCAGGAGCCGACCCTATAGAAAAGGATTCGCTTTAGCAGGGCTCTGGTCCCAGCCGAGTCTGTCCTTTGGGTGTGTTGTTTGCGGAGGTGGTCGGGTGATGCTCTGGTTTGGTCCGAGGCTAGCCACCAGGTGTGTTGGTTCTGGAGCCTCGGGGTAGGGTGGGGGGCCCCGGTGCGTGCCAAGGTCAGCCACTGCCTGTGCCCTGCTCGAGACCACTTGTTATGAACTAGAGTTATCTGTAGGTGGATGTCACTTGTGCTGGGCTTGGCGGTGCCTCGAAGAGGCTAATCTGTGAACTGAAGCTGGCTGCCACTAGTGCCAGGCTTGGGGCTGCTTAGCAAGAGGTGTAGGACACTGAGGCAGATGCTGCTTATTTGGGGTTTGTGAGCCTTTGAGAGATTTTAGGAAAGGCTGCAGCATGAGCCAAGGCAGGCCATTTGTATGAAAAAGCCACTGGAAGTGGCTTGGGTGGGCCCGCATGTTGGGTGAGGTGGGGTCTTGGGGGATCACCAGAGAGGGGTGAATGGTGTCAGCCAGGTTGATGGAGACTCAGTAATGGCGGCCACCTGCATGTGCAGGCTGAATGCGGGGAGGGCTCAACAAAAGAACAGTGGCTCTGCCAGCACTTCTGTCTGGACGTAAGCTGCCCCTCCAGCCTTCACCCTGAAGCCAGATAACTCAGTGCTCCCCGTGTGTCCCTGGCGCCTTTTGAGCTGCCGCCGTACGCTGGAGCTCGGAGCGAGTGCGTCCGTCAGTGGTGAGTTCCTGCGCGGGCCTTTTAAGGAAAATGCCTGGGACTCTAGCAGCCCCCCGACCCACTCAGCTACCATCCCTGCTGGTTTTCACATCCAGAGTTATGGGGACTTCTCTTCCTGGCCCTGGAACCCTGGGCTGGGTAGCCCAGTGTGGAGTTGGGATCCCTCACTCCTGGGAGGGGACCTCCGCAGCCGAGCTAGCCCTGCTGGTTCTTAACCGCCACACGTGGGTGTAGGACCAGCCCGGTCCGCCTGTCCACTCCTGCCTCAGCGTGGCTTCTTCTGTGTGTCCTGAATTATAGGACCTCTGCTCTGTTCGGCTAGACTTCAGGCGGTTCTCAGTGATGGTTGTTCTGTAGTTCAGGTGCAATTTTGTTGTGGTTGTGGCAGGAGGTGGGTATAGCGTTTACCTACTCCACTGTCTTGACCGGAAGCCAACAATAGCTTTTTGTTTTGGAAGTTAGAAAGAAAGAAATTGCTAAAAGCCATAAATAAGTTGCTTTAATGCATATCTTTAAGTTTCTTTGTAGATAGATACCCTCTCCCTAGGAAATTTTATTGCGTGGTGGTAGGAAGCTTCTCTTCTATGTTATTTGTAAAAGCTGGGGATGACAGCCACGTTGGTTGTGTTGAGACCACAAAGTGGGGGAGAAAGTCTAAGTGCTGCTCTGAATGACACAGATTTCCTACAGTTTATGGGTCTTTTCCACATATATAGGCTAAGGCCAGAAACGATAGATAACACTGATTGATCAAACCTTTCTCTTCTTGGAAATGGGGAGAGTTTGGTAGATTTGGATTGCCTTGCCACCCCAGGTCAAGGTAGACCAACTTTGATTCCCACTGAAGCAGCCATCTCCCTATTATTCTTCCCAATTCCCTACAGTCTAACTAGGCAGATGTAAATGTTATGAAGGATTGTTAAGGAGCCAGGACATTTGGATTCTAGTCTTACCCTTCTTTTATAAGCTTTAGTTATTAACTAAAATGGGAAATATTTAATGTCTTTTGCAGTGTTATAAAGCCAAGTAAATATCAAGAGAAGAAAACTCAGCCTTTCCAAAGAAAAGCAATATAGAAATTCAGAGCGGTAGTGCTTTACCTTGCTGGTCCATTGTCAGGAAGAGGAAATAACCTTACTCAGAAGACACTTTTCACTCTGATGAATGTCTTAGAGTCAGGGGTGGGAGCGGAGAGCCTTTCAGCTCTTAACAATAAAAGCAGTTCGTTGAAAATTGCCACATGAGGGACTCTCAATGCACCGTAGCTGGGCGAGAGGAGAGGCTTGCTTTAAAGATGATCAGTGGACATCACTGTAACTTACCAGATAATGGATCAGATATTTTAACTGAGTTTGAAATTTTAACTGAGTAACATGCAGAGTCAGCATGTTAACTGAACAATGTGTCGTTCAGGTGATAGAATTTAGTAGTTTGAGGTTCAACTGGCTATAGTCATAGAAGGGACAGATTTGGCTAGACAGAAGGTTATTTGGTGATCCCAAGACATTGCTCCTCGGTGGATCTAAGCGGATAGTCAGGTTAAGGATAAGCTGCCATAGGTGGTCTGGCCGTTCACGCTGTGTCTGCAGTTTACACTGGGGAAATTCCTCATGTGTCTTTTCACTCTGGCTTTCTTTGTTTTGTCTTTTCTTCAGTGCGTAAGCTGGCACCGAACGAATTTCCTCATAAACTCTACGTCCAGAATTACACATCAGCTGTGCCAGGCACCTGTCTGACCATTCGAAAGTGGCTCTTTACAACAGAAGAAGAAATCCTCTTAAATGACAATGACCTTGCTGTTACCTACTTCTTTCATCAGGTGGGTGAATTGATCTTCCTGGAAAGGCCTAATTTCTTTTTCTGTTTGTGTGGAGAGAGCAATTTGCCAGTTCATTGCGAATCCTCAGGTAACCTGCTTTGTCTTCTGGATCTTAGTTAAATTTATAAAATGTTCTATCTCATTTCACAGAAGATAAATAAGTTTAAGAAGTGAAGATGTCCTAGAGTTTGAAATATACTTGTTGTTATTATTTTTTTTTTTAAACAACAAAAGGAGCACCATGGCTATGGACCATTTTAGAAGTTTTTCATCAAAATTATACATACCTAGAATTTAAAATATCAGATAGTTCTATACAGGTTATTATGAAAAATAATAGTTGCCCTTCTTCATCTTCCTTCTTAAGCAGCCACTTTTACCTCTTTTAGCTTTGTTTTTTGTTGTTTTGTTTTGTTTTATACTTACTTCCATGTCTCTATTATAACTTGGTCGTATTGCTCATACTTGATTTTTCAGATTCAGGCAGTATTTCTTCATTTCTCACCATAGAAGATGAGACTCCTACTCCATTTCGTCCCCGTTTCCACGGATGCCCATACCTTTCATCCCTCCCATCTTCTTAATATAGGCAAATTACATTTGTTGGATCAGTAGTCAGTGTTTATATTATTATGACTCTACAAATCATGACTTTATAGCAGAGCCATATAGTGAATACTTTACTTTTTGCTTCCTTTTAAACATTTTGTTTTAAATATTGAAATAATTTTAAACTTATTTCATAGCACTGTAAATTTCTTCTTCAGTTAAATTATAAATTTAGCACATTGAATTTTGGTTAAATTCATAATTTAACTGAAGAAGATTCCCCATTTTTATTAAATGTAATGTTCCCAACTAAATGCATTTCTATTTTATTTAACTCCTCTTTTATTTCCCCAAATAATGTTCTGTAGTTTTGTTTCCCATATGTCCCCTTAAACTAATTTCCAAATATTTCATATTTTTATCACGAATATGAATGAAATATTCTTTTCTCGCATTGTTGGAGTGGAAGAGTCATTAGCTAGGAGACAGAGTATCTGGTTCAAGTACAAGCTCCGCATTGGGTAAGCCCTAGCGTGGCACTGCTGAGGTCTGTTTTCTGATGCTGTAAGTGGAATCACACAGCATCTGTCTTTTTGTGACTGGCTTATTTCACTTAGCGTAATGTCCTCAAGGCTCAGCCATGTTATAGCCTATGACAGGATTTCTTTCCTAAGGCAAAATAATAATATTCTACTGTGTATATATCATTTTGTTTCGTCATCTGTGGGTGGACGTTTGGGTTTCTTCTGCGTCTTGGCTATCATGAATAATGCTGTTACGAACATGGGTGTGTAAATAGCTCTTCAAAATCCTGCTTTTAATATACCCAGAATTGGCATTACTGGATCACATGGTAATTCTATTTATAAGTTTTTGAGGAACCGCCATGCTGTTTTCCATAGCAGCTGCACCGTTTTACATTCCCAGCAGGCCAGAGGGCTCAAACGATTTTTTGCTTGACTAGGTAAACAGTCGTGCCATTTGGAAAATAATATTAAATTTTTTCTCTTAATTTTAGTTATTTTTTTGTATCATATTTTGATGATGTCACTATCTAATGTATTTCATCAATTCCAAAATGCCATCGATGGTAAGAGGCACTATTATTTTATTAACTGCTAAGAAAGAGAAAAGAGCTGCTAATTAAACTGACACATGATTGTAAGATGCATCTCAAATTTAGAGATGTTAAAAAAATGTGCACCTTAGAATTGATGACATATTAGATAATAATGATGATAATGAGCCTTTTCCTTAAAAAAGAATTTTAAAAGGTCAAAACTCATGGTAGGATATATCAAATTCTGGCTAAACCTGGCAGATTGAACACACATTTAAGCTGCTCCTTCTCGAGGGCTCAATAAACTAATAGTCATGGAATTTTTGAAGGTGTAAACCTGCAAGGACCAAGAGAACAGGAGAGGAGAAAACAGCAGACGAGAACTGTCGACAGCTTTTACAAAATGAACATTGGAGTGAATAGAGAGGAGTTTGGTGTTTGGTTATTACGGAAGATTGGTGAGAGTCACATGGAAAATTATAAAAACACAAGACAGTTAAATCAGCAAAAAAAGTCTATACACGAAAGGCAGTCAGTTTCGTACGTGACTTGGTTGTGAATAGTGTTTACATGCTTACAATAATGTATTGATTATAATAATACTCAGTGTCGATGTAATTTTTATTGAGAGGCTGGAGGAGGAAGAAGTAGGAATGTTTGGCTGTTATAAGAAAACTAAAATTTTTTTTTTAACACGGCAAGTCAACATTCTCTAAAATGTCAATCTAGAAATTATTAGTGTAAACATGACATTTCAAATTATAGAAGGAATATCATAAGAAACTTTAAAGTGCCTAAAAGTAGTTGCTTCTGTAGAACGAGGCTGTGGAATCAGGAGACTGATGTTTTTCTTAGGAGCCCTTTAGTAATGTTTGTTAATTTTTTGAACTGTGTACATCTTTTACTTTAATAGAAATGACTTTAATTAAGAAAAGACTCTGGTGTGATGATGCTTAGGTTTTCCGCTCAGGGCCTGTCAGGCAGTGTAACTTCGATTAGAAATGAGAAGGGAGGGGCCGGCACTGTCACTGCCCACGTGAACAGCATCCCATGGAGCCGCCGGAGTGGACGCTCACTCCGCCCCACCACTGCCCTGGGGACCGGTCATCAGATAATTAAGTGCCGTTCACAGTCGAAGACAGTTCTGGGTGTTGGGGATACGGTCATCAGAAAAGCCTTTTCCCTTAGCTAAGTAGCACTGCGCTACATGGGAAGCTGAGTAGGTAGTTGTTTGTTTGTTTGTTTGTTTTCCCTCTCCTCCCAGCTTTTCAGTAACTGCTTTGACTTTGACCTGGAGCAGCCAAGTCTTTGGTGATAAATGACAGTGTTCGTGGCCATTCTTAATGAACATTCCCCTCTGTGAATACGATCCTCTGTGCCTGCGTGAGCCCTTGTTTGTATGGCCAGGGATGGGGACAAATGGGCAGCCTTTCCATTAGGACATCCCAGGCAGGATGTTAATATCCACGTGTGATTCTTAGAACTTAACAGCTGAATAGAGCAATGATACTAACAGTAAATATTTTTCTATACTTTAGAGAGCTCTTAACATCTGTTTTCTCGTTTTGTTGTCTACCTGTGAGATGAGTACTATTCCTGTTTTCACAGACTGAGAGGGTTTAAGTCACTTAGGAAAGCGCACGTTGGTAGTGACAGAGCTAGAAGTCGAACTAGCCTTTTGACTTCAATCCTGAACTCATCCTATTATGTAGCTCCTTTCCCTTAAAAGACCCTGGGGAATGACTGCGACCTTGAGGAGATGGGCAGTCTTCTGGGGAGGGGTCAGGCAGCCCCTGCCTGGTGCCTGTGTAGAGATCCCGAATGCCCTGGTCAGATGATTCTGTCTGTTCTTTTTTTCCTCCCAATAACCAGTTTTCCCTTCCATTAGATTTTGAATCTTTTCTTAGGGTGGAGTGAGGTTGGGAAGGGGCGCAGGTTTCATGGAGCTGAACCTGGAGTCGTTTAGAATTAGCACGTTATATCCGGGTACCTTTGCGCCTGTGTCGAGTCCTGTTGGGGATTTTGTCCATTCATGGTCTGAGATTTATCACTTCCTGTCCTCCAGTCGCTCCTACCCTAGTGTAAGGTCTTGTTCCGCTGAATGCTTAAAGTACCACATCATTAGGCTCCCTCGTTTTATTCTCTGCTTAGCTTAATTTGTTTGGCCCTCATATGCAAATCCTCATCTGTTAACCTACCCGCTCTAGCATTATCTTTCATCGTTCCCTAACATGTACCTTTTATTCAAACCAGGCAGATCTGTCTCCTGAATATGTTTAAGCTCAAACCCATTCCTGTTTCCCTGACTTCAGCGCGCAGTTCTTCTGTTCAGCTTATTCTTTGGGGTCTGGCTGAGTCCTTGGTAACTACAGTTAGCAGTGAGCTGTCGTGTTCTGGCTGCGTGTATCACTTGCTGTCTCTGCCACACCTTTTTGCTACTTCAGCGCACCTTTAGTCAGTATTATGCCACTTAACATTCTCTAATGTCTCACATGTGTAAATTAAGCAGAATTTAAATCTGTTAAAGTGAGAAACCAAATTGCTCACGTGCCTGGAACAGTCCTTGAGCACACACCAGACACTTAATGCTGCTTATTCCAGTAAATCTCTCCATGTGGCAGAGTTCACTGGTGATGGCGATGGTTTATAGAGATACGAGTTATTCTGAAAATGGATCTGTGTCTCTATTTTTATCAAGAATGTACTTGATAATGATTTTTACATTCCTTTCTTCCCTGCCTTTGTTTTGGTGACAGGCTGTTGATGATGTGAAAAAAGGTTACATCAAAGCAGAGGAAAAGTCCTACCAGTTACAGAAGCTGTATGAGCAAAGGAAAATGGTCATGGTAGGTTTATATCCCCATAACCTCTTTATAAAATGCTCCTTTTTACCTCTTAAACCTGTTGTTCCTGTCATTTTTGAAAGATGTCACAAGCTGGCGGGTGGCTTCAGTAATTTAGGAAAAGATAGAGGGCTAGAGACCTCGAAGCAAAGTCCATTGCGTTCCTCCATTTAGCATGCAAAGAGCTTATTTTGCTGTATATAGGTATTTAACTTTATTATTATTAACCGAATAGAATTTATGTTGATAGAAAAAGTTCTAAAACAGCAGCTGTGCAACACATTTAATATGATAAAGATAAGATTCTGTGTGAATTGATATTTTAACATTAGAAATTATTTTAGTTGTGATTTAGCACTTGCAGAATCATGCGTTTTTATAGCTTCGACCTTTGCAGCTGCTTAAACTCATGCTCAGTAATGCTTTTGATTAGTATGCTGTCCTAGAGCTGTACTGTTCAGTTCGATGGCTGCCAGCTTCCTGTGGTGAGTTAAATTTAATTTTAAATTTATTTAAATGAAATAAAATTTAAAATTCAGTTCCTCAGATGCCCTGGCTGCATTTCAGATGTTTGATAGCCACATGTGGCTAATAGCTACTGTATTAGACAGCTCAGAGAACATTTTCATCATCACAGAAAGTTCTGTTGGAGAAGGCCGCCTTAGAATATTTCTTAAAGGTTTTAAAATTAGTTTTTAGTTTGTATCTGCCAAGGATGAAAATTGTCAAAAATAAAATTTGTGAAGAACACTTACAAATTTCTACTCGTAGCATTTAAAAATTTCTTTCTTGGCAAAATCACATATGGTTGAAATTTTTCCAATTATAATTTTTCATGATTTCACACAAGGCAGTAATTGCATTGGTAATGATTCTTATAGATCACTTGAATTTCTTTGTACCTTCTGTGCATTTTTTATGAGGGAATGTTGAGTGTTTATCCATCCAAATTAATTGGGTTGGAGTAAGAATACACAGTAAGCCATCGAACTTAGCATGTAACCTTATGTCTAGCTGGGATGGTTATTTTATCACTTATGCGATGGAAAGTAATAAATCTCTTTGCCTTAGGGATTTGCCAAAGATCATGGAATCATCTACGAATGCTCTGCATACCAACAGGCTGAAATAGGCAGCTAAAATTATCTTACACAGAATTACGTCTGTTAATTTGCAGAATTTTGGTTGAGGGAATTTTACTATGTGGGAGGCAGGATTTTAAAACTCGACTTCCACCTTTTCTTTAAGATAATGACATTGTCTTCTATGTATTAATGCATGAGTCTGACCAACACATCCGCATCTTCTTGGTGAAAAGGGCCAAATACTAAAGGACTGTCAACCTCTGCAGTAGTTCTTTTTGCCAAAGCCAACAGAATCAAATGATTTTATAAGGGTCTCTGACAATACCAGTATGCAGTACTGGTTAGTACTGCGCACAGTACTGCAGGCACACTATCTTCCAGAAATACTTGTGGAGCACCAAGTGCGTGCCAGGCACAGTACCAGGTAGGTGCTGGAGACATAAATAGGTTTGGGTTGTTCTAGGGCAAAATATAGAAAATCTGAATTTAACAAGCATAGTAATCTATTATGAAATCACTTTCAGACTCAAGTTTAAATCGTATAGTCACCCAGTTAAGAACTCAGGTGCATTGGTACATTGATATGTTTCCCCATGGGTCACTGGAACTGAGTGTAAAACATGCTTAAACATTTATGGCATTCTCTTGTCTTGAAAACTTAGTGCCAACATACTAGTGCGTACTGGCCCCTTAACACTATAGTCAGATTTTAAAGAAAATCCCACAGAGTTTGAATTCTGTACAGATGTAATTTCATGTTCTCAGGGATTGGTGTTCAAAGGCATTAGCTGAGTCGGAGTCAAGGTCAGTACATTGGAACTTCCGTCTCAGATGGCCCTTTGGAGCCCTTATGTCTGCATACCATCATCTAAGGCGACTTAGTGTGTTTGATGGGCCTAAGATTAGGTCAAATTAGCATAACCGGTTGCCACATCACTGTGAGAACTTCAGCAAGTCAACAGGTTTCTTTTCTGAAAAGGAGGATGTTCAGATTGCCAGCTATCAAGTAGAATCTTGACAGAATGCTCCAGAGTTCTTGGTAGATAAATAAGCTTTGTGTAAGTTTCCTTGTTCTCTGAATACCAAGGACAGCTCATATCTGTGCCATAGTTTGTAAGACCCAGTGCGATCAGTAATCTTTTTGTTTTCTGCTTATTTACGAAGTTAGATTGAATCTCACATCTGGATGGTTGAGAATCCAACCACCTAGGAGAGATTTTCTTTTTTCTCTTTCTTTTTTTTACTTGCACACAAATAGACATTTGGAACGTTTTCCTTATGTTGGAGTGGCTTGATTTTGCCATCATTGAACTGACAAATCAATTTCTGTTAGTGTTTCTCAACGTTAATTTTTAGTGATTTCACACAAGGCAGTCAATGTGAAAGTCAGTGTTTCTTAGAGTGTAGCCCCCAGCTGAGTGTCCTGGGAATCACCATGCAGGTGTCTGGACCCCCACTCACATTTACTGAGCCAGAATCTCTGGAGCGGGGTGGGGTGAGGACCTACGAGTTTTTGTGAAGATTTTTACAGAAGACGCTGGTGATGCTGGAACTTTCGGTGCTTCGGAATCACTGCCCGGGGGGCTTGGGAGGGTTGACTCCTAAGGTTCCTCTCAAGCCCTTATTTCAGTTTTAGACCTGGTTTGACCCTTGGCCAGTTGTTCGGGAGAACAGAGAGCTTTCTAGAATGGACCTCAACCCACTCGCCGAAAGTGTTCTGTTCTGTTAGGTACTGAGTCTCTGCTTTAATAACTGTCCTCTTTCTATATTTACCTGTCTTGCTAAGTATTGAACATTCACAGGATGTCCCACGCTCTGTCATTCCTCTCCTCTGGCCTGATGTGGGCCATCATCTAAGTGGCATGTGAATCAGGAGAGGTAACTTAGGGTACATATTTAAGTACTCACAATCTAATATGAAAGGAAAATGGACAGGACAGTTTTGTTTTAAATATATAGCTACACCCTTAACATAAATCTGTTTGAAAACAAAAATTCACTTTTCCTTTGGAAATTGTGGGTGTATGTAAAACTTTAAATGTCTCGTCTCTTTACACTTTGCGCACACCTAGGAATGTAGAGATTGCCCACTTAAAGCTGAGAAACGCTGCCTGACCTGAGACTCCCCTCCACTTAAAGCTGAGAATCGCTGCCGGACCTGAGACTCCCCTTTCCTCCCAGTCCCCCCTCTGCAGAGGAGGGCGGAGTCTGAGAGGAAGATTCTCACCCGAGATCAGAAGTGGAACTAGGATCTGAACCCATTTCTATCTGGCTCCAAAGCAGATGTTTTTCCCTCCTTCCAAGATGAGAGAGAGAGTGGCAGCAGTGTCCTTTACTTCCAGATGGCAGAGGGGAAGTCCCCAGGTCGAGCAGCTTCTGCAAGGTCACAGCGGGAGAGTTCAGGACAGGCAGAGTCCACGTCTCCTCCGAGGTCACATCCCTTGGTCTGCATGTTTCTCTCTTTTAAAAAATCTATGTAGTAAAACTCCCATTTAGGAACATAACAAATATTTCTTAAAACAGTGACGATACCTCTGGAAGAAGAGAACTCTCGACACATGTTGTACATAAGTCATTTTTGTTGAAGGACGCAAGCAAACTAGTCGCAAGGCTGTGCGACACCCACTGGCGTTGGCAGAGGTCCTAAGCATCTGTGAGCAGAACTTGTTGCTCATTGAGCATGTAGCAAGTCTCCGATGGCTGTTAGGGGGACGCGTGGATTGAGTGCTGGCAGTCTGGTTGCAAGACCCTCTTCTTTGTCTTCCAACGTTTTATTATAGACATTTTTTAGTATATGAAGTCGAAAGAACAGCACATTTAGCCCCCACGTGCCCGCTCCCGGCTGCAGCAGCCCTCGGCTTTCTGCCTTTCTTCTGCCTCCCTCTTGTGCTTTTCTCCCTGGAGTTCTGAAAAGTTAGTTTCCATATCTATCACTTCACAGGGCATTCTTGAGAGAGAAAATAGTTGAGCCCTCTGGCTAAGGATAACAGAGCCTTTAAAATTATTTTTTAAGCTACCGTTTATTGAATACCTAATTATGCACTAAATACTCTGCTAAATACTGTAATGCTTGTGAATAACTGATGTAGGTACTATTATTATTTCCCTTTTTACACTGTTGGCTTGGTTCCCAGGCAATCCCTGAGAGGAAACCAGGTCAGAGTCCATGAGTTTTTTTAAATCATCTTTTCGCTGTTTCTCTTCTACTCTGCTTTCCACGCGTCTTTTACCCTCTCTCCTCTCAGCTCAAAATCGGGAGTTGAGTGACAGGCCAGCCTCAGCTGCAGGGGAGAACGGACAGCAGAATGACGAGCTAAGTTAGACTCAGTAGTTCACAGACCTCTTTGGATTAGTCTCTTTCTGTTTGTTTGTTTCTTTGTTCACTTATTTTGTTCCGTAGATTCTACATAGAGTGAAATCATATGGTATTTGTCTCTCTCTGACTTATTTCACTTAGTATAACACCTTCTAGGTCTATCCATGTTGTTGTAAATGGTGAGATTCCGTTTTTAGTCTTTCGTAGCATTGTACCTGTGAGGATCACGTATGTCACTTGATTTTGGTCCAGATGCTTTTTAAGGAGACCCGGTGGGTAGTGGGGCTGATCTGGGGACTAGTTGGTGATAAAGGCTCAGTGACCAAGAAGTTAAACCTGTCTTCTGATCCTCGTTGTACCACTTATGTGGCCTTAAGCAAATCCCTTGTTACTCTGGGTTTCTGTAAAATGACCAGATTTGAAATAAAAGTCAGCCTAAACATTTATGAATATGAGATCGGGGTAGCGTGAGCCGTATCACGGAGATCGTTGTGTCTTGACTGCAGAGAGGTGGGGAGGAACAGCCCTCTTTCCTTAATTGAAAGGAGAGCTTCGACCCCCGGCCCTTAGGTCCAGCGAGGGCCAGACTGGTGGCATCGTGAGTTCCCTTCTCGTCTGAGGTTACAGGGTCTCTTCCTGCTTTGTTGTGTTTCCTCTTTTTTTTAATGAGAGAAATGGGCAGGGTTGGAGGTCGGAGGTGGGATAAAGGATTGTCTCGGAGTCCTGTCCCAGCTTAGTGACGGGCGTGAGACCAGAGGCAAGGTGGTCAGGTGTCCCGTGAGCGGGTTCTCTGCTCTTTCTCTTGCGGCCTCCGAGTGGCTCTTCACGGTGGTTTAGTTCCATGGCAACACCGTTTCCCCTTTTTGATTCTAGTACCTCAACATGCTACGAACCTGTGAGGGCTACAACGAAATCATCTTCCCCCACTGTGCCTGCGACTCCAGGAGGAAGGGGCACGTTATCACCGCCATCAGCATCACGCACTTTAAACTGCACGCCTGCACCGAAGAGGGCCAGCTGGAGGTGAGGCTTCGGCGCGGGCCGGGCCACTAGCTCACTTGCTGCGTTTTCGTTCCTGCTGGGTGGGGGGCGGGGTGGGGGGCCGTGGTGGCGGTAGCAGAGTGAAGTCAGAACCGTTTTGCCCGGTTAAGGGAACAAGCAGCGACCCACACCTGCCCCTCCTCACTTCCACCACCTTTTATCCTTCCGTCACCGTCCTGTTCCCAAAGCGACGCGGACATCACTCATTTCTCGTCCGCTGCCCGGTCTTACGCCAGCTCCCGCTTCTCAGACTTACCCTCTTGTTCTCGGTTGTTTAGAACCAGGTAATAGCATTCGAGTGGGATGAGATGCAGCGGTGGGACACAGATGAAGAAGGAATGGCCTTCTGTTTTGAATATGCACGAGGGGAGAAGAAGCCTCGATGGGTTAAAATCTTCACACCATATGTGAGTGGTGGACGGGGAAGCACGCTTGGGGAAAGTAGATGGGGCCTGAAGTTCTCCTTAACCTAAATGCAGAGAGGGAGCTGTAGAGATAGCAGTGGTCCTGAAATCTGAACCCCTTCGAACTCTGTCTTCGCTTGAGGCTGGGCTGGGATTGGCACTTTCACATCCCGCTCAACTCACAGTCACCACTAGAAGGAGCTAGAGAGCAGGAGAGGAGCCAGGCCTGGGTTTGGGCTCGGCAGGGTTTTCTTTAGGCGGAGCGGTTGGGGAGCGGGTTGGGAAGGTCGGGTGGTTGGGGGCAGGAGTTCAAGGGCACGGCCTGTGGTGCCTGGTCTTGAGAAGTCAGTGATGTTGCTCTGTTTTTTTCCCAGTTCAATTACATGCACGAATGCTTTGAGAGGGTGTTCTGTGAGCTCAAATGGAGAAAAGAGGTAATTCTAAACAATCATGAATCGGATTTTTCATCTTCGTTTAAAACATACAGGCCAACGGCCAAGTACCCGGGACCCTCCCCTCCGCCTCTGTGTCCCCTGGACTGTTAGTTAGGCTGGCTTTCTCTGGGGGCTGGCGTGCTGGTCCAGAGGTTGGCCTCTGGATGCTGACTGGCCGTGTAAAATGCCCAACCCCTTTCTTTCCTCGTCTGGAGGGCGGCAGTGGCTCTGCCCCCTCTCATGACTCCCCGGCTCCTCCTGCTGGCTTCTGTCATCGCCCTCCACGCTGGTCCCGACCCCACAGGGCAGCAGGTCTCAGCGTTAGCTGTTCCTGGATAAGCCCAGGCCAACCCGGAATACGCGAGCGTGGGCGGGTTCCTGCCCCTGCTGGCAGTGCCCGCCGGCGCCGGGGCAGAGTTTGAAGGTCCTGAATAATTAGCTACTTATTCTCAAAGAAAACGTTTCTGAAAAAACGTGGAGACAGACATTCTCGGCACAGTGGGGAGGGCGTCGGGCTTCGGAACCGGATCTGGATTCTCTCCCAGTTTTTTTTCCTTTGAGATTTCGGGCAAATCAGTCTCCCTGGAGCCCAGTTTTCCCATGTTCTTTCATGTGTCAAACGGGGAGGCTGGGCCAGAGCCCTGACGTCTGGGGCGCGTCCAGCTGTGGTGAAGGCTGACTCCACATGGGAGTCCTGTCGGGAACGGGCGGTCACACCCCGTCGTGCAGTCGTTCGCTCTGTCCCCGTCTGCGGCGTGTCTCTGGGTGGGGGCGACGTGGGCCCCCGAGGCCGCCCAGTGACTCCTGTCTGTCTTTCCTTTCAGAACATTTTCCAGACGGCAAGGTCACAGCAGAGGGACGTGGCCACCTAGCCTTTCCTCACCCCCCCCTTCACCTTCATCCTCTTCCCTTTCCGTGTCCCATGTCAGACAGAGTAACCATTAACACAGAAGACGAGAAAAAGGAAAAGTCATTATATTCAAAAGCCCCAACTAAATATTATTAATAAGCCCTCTGAATTCCACGTCTCTGGAGTTGAGCCGGTGGGGGACAGCAGCTCGGTCCGCACCCGGGGT